ACCATTTGCTTGGGTGAAAGTAAGGTCACCATTAATGGGGAAATGCCGGTTCTTGTGTCTCATTTGTCTCTTCTTCATCCTCCCCTCTTTACATCGAGCAGCAATTTCTTCTTCATGCCCAACAGATTTCAACTATGTCACCACCTTCCCATGGGATTCTTCCGCCTGCCGGACCACGACCACCAACAACACCGCCACCCCAAACTGCTGCCAAACTCTCCGGAGTCTCTTCGGCATCGGCCTCGCTCACCACCTCAACCAAACCTCAACTTTCTTGTTCCCAAACCTCCAATCCTCCATTTCTTGCCTTTCCGATTTCCAATCCCACCTCTCTTCAATCTCCATCACACAGATCTTCTCCACCTGCCTCACCTCCACCACTGAGTTCGTCGCAACCCCGTCAAAATGCGCTGAGATTGTGACGTTATCAGATTGGGTCAACAAATCAGGTCCGACCACCGCGCTTGACTCTTCCTGCAACGTTGATTTCGCCGGATTTCTCAGCTGCAGCTCCTGCCTTGATGCAGGAATGGCGGTTAACACCCGGTTAGTAGCTTTAAGCCGTAACTCAAGTAAATGCTTCACTTTCACCGCTCTATACGCCGCCGCAATCATCAACAGTTTTGGCCCGGAAGACACTCGAACTGCCGATTGCATCCTCGGCGTACCTTTAGCTAAATCCAGATCCAATTCAAGATCCAAGAAAAACACCATTTTCGCGATTTTAGGAGCTTTGATCGGAACTCTCCTTTTTCTGGGTGCTGTTTTCGTGTACAGGAGATTCAGAAACAAAAGGAAAGAAAATCAATTCCACACAGATTATGTAAGAACAGTAAAAGCTCGTGTTTTGCCCAACACCGGTGCAAAATGGTTCCGTATAGCCGAGCTCGACGTCGCCACCGAGGGATTCTCTGAACAAAACTTCATCGGTCAAGGTGGATTCGGGATTGTTTACAAAGGAACCCTATCCGATGGAACGGAGGTCGCCGTCAAAAAGATGACCAGCTTCGATACTGAAGCAGACGACGATTTTGTAAACGAAGCCGATATCATAAGCAAGATAAGACATCGGAATCTTCTCCCCCTTCGAGGGTTTTGTGCAACTAGTGACGCCATTAAAGGAAACGAAAGGTACCTGGTTTATGATTTTATGCCAAATGGTAATTTACATGATCATATCTTCAATAAACGGACACCGGAAAAAAACTTAACTTGGCCTCAACGGAAATCGATCATTCTCGATGTTGCGAAAGGGCTATCTTATTTACACAACGGGATTAAACCCCCGATATTTCATCGCGATATAAAGGCGACAAACGTTCTTCTGGATTCAAATATGAAAGCCCTAGTTGCGGATTTCGGATTAGCTAAGCAAAGTAGAGACGGGCAATCTCAGATGACCACCAGAGTCGCCGGAACTTATGGCTACGTAGCACCGGAATATGCTCTTTACGGGCAATTGACAGAAAAGAGCGACGTGTATAGCTTTGGGATTATCGTTCTTGAGATCATGAGTGGGAGGAAGGTGCTTGAAGAGGTGAAAGGGGCGGCGTATTCAGGGATGGTTCTGATCGCCGATTGGGCATGGGAGAAGGTGAAATCGGATCGAATTGATGAGGTTTTTGATGAGTCGATGAGAGAAGAAGGGACGTCGCCGATGGGTGTGATGGGTAGATTTGTAAGAGTTGGATTACTTTGTGCTCATGCCATGGTGGTGCTTCGACCTACCATTTCAGAAGCTCTGAAGATGTTGGAAGGTGATATTGACATTCCTCAGTTGCCGGACCGGCCACCGCCGCTTGGTCAAGAGTCTTTTGGACTGAGTTTCCGGCATGGTACCAGTTTGTGGTCGAGTAGCGATGGGTCGATAACGAGTCCAATTCTCAACACTTGAAAATTTTAAATGGTAATGTCTTTTTTACCATTTATGTAATTATAGGATTCTTAATCGTTCATTTTCCTCTATTTTTCTCTTTTACAAAGTTTGTTGAAAAATGATGCTTGTAAAATTTGAAGAACTTAATGGTTATACATCGAACTAGATTTAGAAACTAAACACAAACCTATAAATGGTAAAACAGAATGTTTTTTTTTTATCGTGTGATCACAATAAATTAACGAGATCTGTAAACTAACTTCACACACACACACAAAATTATAAAAGACTTAAAAAATATGTGTTTACCATATTAACCACAATTACAGTAAAATGTGGAAGGACATAGACATTTGTGCAGGGGATGAATTTCCCAATCAAGCTAGAGAGCCAATATACAACCACCTTTTGGATCCATAAATGATAAATGCAAACAAAAAAGGAATCTCCCTTTTGATGAGTTGGCTGTTTGTCTCGACTTCAAAAAGAAAAGAAAAAAAACTTAGGGGCTGTTTGGTTGGATCTGAATTTTTAAGAGGTTTGAATTTCTAAGAGGGTCTGAATTTTTAAGATCTGAATTTTAACATGTTGTTTGGTTAGAACATCTGAATTGTTGTGCTAAATGGTAAAAATGACCATTTTACCCTTATGTACTATTTTTGGCTGAATACGACATTTTTGTTTTATAAAATAATTGAACCCACATAATAGCAACCAACTTTACCGATGATTCTCAATAATAGCAACCAACATTTTTTGCACAAAAAATAAACACCAAGATTGCTCCATATGTTACAACAACTTTATCCATAAACATAAGAAGTTAAACAGGAAACAATGAAAATAAACAAAGATTGCATTTGCATTTTGAATTTTCAAATAAAACATTGAATCTTAACAATTGCATTTGCTTGTCAAATAAAACATTCAATCTCAACAATCGCATTTGCATTCGCATTTGTGTTTCAAAGGGTACCCTTCTACAACTCCCTTCTCTAATCTCCATAAAAGGTGGTTTTCTTCTTCCATTTATGTATTACCCTCCACTATAGGTGCTGCAATGTAAAGGCAGATCAATCGGGGATTTTGCGCCATTACCTGCTATTATTGTTTCTCTGTGAAGATGAGATTCATGTTGGGTGAATAGCATCACCCCAGTTGATAGAAGAAATTCAGGGCCTTTCATCTACAAAGCCATCCACCTTGTATAAGAACTTCATACAACTTTATTAACAACAAAAATATACAGGCTTCATATAAACTTCATACAGATTACAATTTAAACCAAATATTGAAGATGCAAAATTTGCCACGAGTTTTAATTTTTTCAAAATCAACTCATGTATTGTCAAAGAAAGTGAAGATAGTTTGAACAAAATATTGGTTTTGACAAAGAATCGAAAGATTCATCCTACTGATTGAAAATTGAACTGAAGTAAGAATCATCAAATTAGAACTAAGCAACTACATGAAAATCAAGCAAAATATACCTGATATGATTTGGAGATGGGAAATCAAACTAAAGCCTTGTTTCACTATAAGACGATGGGAGAATTCCATAATTTCGTCGTCGTTGCTGGAGAAGAATGACCAGGGATGGGGAGATGCATGATTTGAATGGAGCTGACACTAGCAGATGGTGACAGCGACGACAGTAGAGGGTGGAGGCGTCGATGGCATTGGCGGACAGAGGCGGAAATAGCGCCACAAACGGAAACGTCGATGGCTGAAAGATGGAATCGGTTTAAAGAGGGAGTCGTAGTTGAAGGGACGTTGATTTTAGGGAAAAGGGGCAAGAGTGGAATAATTTTATTTGGAGTGGTAGGCATACGGAGGTTGCCGATCGGAGAGGGGGTGGGAGGGAGAAGGGGCCTGCGACAGTGTTGTGTGCGATGAGTGCAACGGAAGTCCGGTGATGTTCAGGTGATAGCGGAAGAATGGGTCGACGTTTGTTAATGAAAGGGAAGACGGAAAGGAGTGGTGTACGAGGGAAAATGAGGAATGCGCGTTCCTTTTTTTTAATTCAGATACGTCCCAAAATCTGAAAAATTAAGAGGCAGTTTACAAATTAAGAGCTATAAAATCAGATGCTGCCAAACAATCTAGATCTTAAAAATTAAGAGATTGCCTCTTAATTTTCCAATTAAGAGGCTACCAAACAAGGCCTTACTTGAAATAGTTTTCTAAAAGAACACCTCTTAGAGAAAGTGATGCGGATTTTTTGACTTTACGTAACATACAAGATATTTCCAGTTCAAAAATTATAGCTAAAAACTAAATTGTTTATATTGTTAACATCGAAGATCTTTTTTAAAATATTTATACGTTTTGTAAGAGATATGATCGTAACAACGGATTTGGATCAAAAAAATCCAATCAAAATAAATTGATATTCAAATTTGTTTGCAAGATACTGTAATATCAGTGTGAGACTAATTCAAAATGATTTGATCAAAAGATGATGTTCTAATATAACTTAATATAATTTGTGATGCTTGATTTCAAGTTGAATAGATGTTTTTTTTAAAACTTTGCTATATAATAAAATTAAAAAGGTAAGGACGGTATATATTTTTCACTTATAAAATCTTAAAATCATAAAATCTTAAATCAAGATCGGGATTTTAACAATAATACAAATGTTTTTAATGATCCGAGAAATGACAAGTCGTGATGTCGGTAATATCAAGCCTTAAGTTTTAGGAGCAAAAACAAAGCCACAATGTTTTTCACGATGTGACTTAATCAAGAATTTGGTGTGTATATATATATATATAGGAGCAAAGACAAAGCCACAATGTTTTTTCACGATGTGACTTAATCAAGAATTTGGTGTGTGTATATATATATATATATATATATATATATATATATATATATATATATATATATATATATATATATATATATATATAAAACACTATTATTCAATTTTGTATATATTATTTAAAATGATATAGATATTCAGCCTGGATTTTTACTCTTTAAATTCTTGCTCTTTGTTTTCCATGAGCAATGGAAAATCCTCGGTTACAGACGGGTAAGTTTCTTGTTGATCAACAGACTTCGAAAACCGATTTCTTTCAAGTTTATCATCAACATGAGAATCAATAGTTGGGAGGGATTACACTGAAGAATTAGAATTTGATGAAACAAGTTTATCATCCCATAACAAACCTTTGAGTTGTTTATAAACACATTGATACATATTCGATAAGAGAAAATAAGGAGCATCAGGACCATTAAATCCATCATAAATCCCGAAAGAAACCCATCCTTGTTCTTCATACACTATAACATGTACTCGATCTTCCCCAGCTTTCCCTTGCACCCATTGGAAATTCTGACTCTGAGTAAAACACTCCTCATCGTCTAGAAAACTTGCTTCGCTGCTCAAATTCACATTGCTAATAATCAATTCATTGTTTTTATCAGAAGACCCACCAGTCCAATCGTGTTGTTTCAAAGAGCTAACACCTTAGAGGAATTTGAAACCAATTGTATTAAAAAAAAAAAGTCAAATAATTAAGTGTAACTAGGCAGGTCAACAAAACATAAATGATACATGGCATATGAAACTGGTTGTATTATGTTAGGTGACCAAATGAATAGGTAAAAAATAACATTATTCCCTTAAAAGGCACGAAAAAAAACTTTATTGTTTGAAAAGGTAAAATCGAAATACATAATAGGACCATTGTTTTCCCTTGTATATAACCTAACATAAACAAATATGACCTGTGAAGTTGAAATCCACAAACTTTTAAATTTTAATCCCCTCAAATGTTAGTCAAGTTTAATATATGAAATTAAAAAAAAAATGGTTTGCTGGTGGACTAAAATTTTTTAAAAGAAATGTAGACGAAAGAAAAATATCATATACTTTAATATTATACGTACAAAGAACCGAAGAAGTACTTTTAATATTAAGCTTTTTTATTTAAAAATGATCTTCTAACGGAGTATAATTTATGAAAAACTCCAAATAAATACAGTAGTTAAAAATTAAAACCTGCTTCTTCGAAACTCATCTCCGTCGGCTCGTTCCCGCCGGCCGCCACGATCGCGTCTCCGCTTCTCCATCTTCGCATCTCGAATCGAACTCACTCTCACACTTGCTCGCCTGTACATCCCGTTGTCTCAATCTCCGAAATCCTGTATGGCAAGTCCGAACTCTCAATTTAATCTTCATTCTTTTACTTTCCCTTTCATCAGTTTTGGTACACCAAGCAAACCGTTTGATATTTAAGCTTCACTGCTCATATTTCTGTAGACTAAACTCAAAATTTGTAATGTCAAATGCCCAACTGGCAAGTCTGTTGGCTTGGAGATGATATCATATTAATGCATGAAAGCTGTTTGATGAAATGCCCATGACAATTATTATTATCCATTCGGGACTTCTTTTGATACTCTTTACTCTTTAAGCTCTTAGTTATAATTTAAATGCAAGAAAGCTGTTTGATAGTCTCCAACTCTTGTAGGTGATCCACGACAATATGATCAGAGTATTCACCAGTCCTATGAAATCAAGTTTCAGAAATCTTTTTCATCCCAGAAGAAGAACATACTGCTCGATTGAAACAAAGAAAGACATATTATTCGACCCCACAAAACAAATATGCAAAATCATGATGTCATGTCCAAAGCTAGGAGTTGCAACTGCACTTGACCAAAGTGGTATAAGGCCATCACCTGAAGTAGTAGAACAAGTCCTCAAAAGATTCACAAATGCAGGCATGTTGGTGTATCAATTCTTTGATTGGGCAGGTAAGCAACGTAACTATGAACATTCTATAAAAGCTTATCATGCCATGATTGAATCTTTAGCCAAAATCAGACAATATGAAATCATGTGGGATCTTATAAACACCATGAGAACCAAAAACCTGCTCAACATCGAGACTTTTTGCATAATTATGAGAAAGTATGCAAGAGCACAAAAAGTCGAAGAGGCAATCTACACCTTCAATATCATGGAAAAATACAACACCCCTCCAAATTTATCAGCTTTTAATGGTTTATTAAGCGCATTATGTAAATCAAGAAACGTAAGAAAAGCCCAAGAGATTTTTGACACAATGAAAGAAAGATTTAAACCTGATCAGAAAACTTACAGTATATTAATCGAAGGGTGGGGAAAGGATCCCAATTTGCCTAAAGCAAGAGAGATTTATAAAGAAATGGAAAATGACGGATGTACCCCTGATATTGTCACATACGGGATCATGGTTGATATTTTGTGTAAAACAGGTAGGGTAGATGAAGCTATCGATATAATAAAAGACATGGAATATAACGGTTGTGGGCCCACATCCTTCATATACAGTATTTTAATTCACACATACGGGATTGAAAACCGAATCGAAGATGCTGTTGATACGTTTCTTGAAATGGAAAGAAACGGTGTCCGTGCTGACGTGGCAGTTTACAACGCGTTGATTAGCGCATTTTGTAAAGTAAACAAGGTTAAAAACGCGTATAGGGTTTTAAACGAAATGGAATGCAAAAAGGTGAATCCAAATTCAAGAACTTGTAACATTCTTTTGAATCATTTGATAGATAGAAAAGAAAGTAATGAGGCGTTTAAGGTTTTCAAAAGGATGATCAAGATTTGTGAACCTGATGCGGATACGTATACGATGATGATTAAGATGTTTTGTGAAACGGGTGATATTGAAATGGGACAAAAAGTTTGGAAGTATATGAAAGGGAAGCAATTTGTTCCTAGTTTGCATACTTTTTCTGTTATGATTAACGGGTTGTGTGAAAATGAAGATGCTTCTGAAGCTTGTGTGTTAATGGAGGAAATGATTGAGAAAGGAATTAGGCCACCGAGGTTGACTTTTGGGAGGTTGAGAAAATTGCTTTTGGATCAAAAGCGTGATGATGTGTTTGAGTTTTTACAACAGAAATTGAACTTATTGGTAAAAGAGCCATTATGCGATTGATTAGATGAATGCTTCCATTTTGTTATTCAATTTGGTGGGCCCCTCTCTTATGACAACAATCAGATGGGCCGTTGTGTATCTGATTTATATATCAGACTGATTTAGATGAATGCTTCCATTTATATATCAGATGGGCCGTTGTGTACCTGATTTATATATATGAGATGATGTTATGCAATTGATTAGATGAATGCTTCCATTTTGTCATTCAATTTGGTGGGCCCCTCTGTTATGACAACAATCAGATTGGCCGTTGTGTACCTGATTTATATATCAGATGATGTTTTTTTGGACAGCAACATAGTGTGGACCAACTCAAGGGATGCTGAATGTCACAATTTGTCTTTTTAGTTTTTAGGGATGCTGAATGTCACAATTTGATATTATATATATTAAATTTAATCAAATTTATATAAAAAATTAAATACTTTATTTCGTTTTAATACGAAAATCAGTTCAAAGTGATTGTATAATGAATAAATCATTTGGTTGTAATTATGAAATAATATGATTGATAAAGTTATAAAAATGTGTGTGATAAAATTTCAAAAAATTAATTAGTACTAGGGTTGCTTTAAAAAACTAATAAATATAAGGGGTAAGGGCCAAAACAAGAACAAGAACAAGTGAACATCATATTCATATGCAATTATGTGATTATCTTATCATAACATGTTGATTTTATTTTATTTTTTTTATTATTTTTATTTTTATTATTATTATTATTATTTTTGTGTGTGTGTGTGTTTTGTTATGGTGAACTTTATGTATGAGCAGATTCATTATTCATATGTAAATTCAATGTATTATTGTGTGAATTTTATGTATGATTATAGAGAAATCACATAATCATATATAAAGCTCACATGTGGATTCAATATATTAGTTTGTGAATCATATATATAATGACATGAAAAAGTGTTAGAATATTATAAAGCAAATGTTAAGACTGTATATACACACAAGCACATTAAATTATTAAAATTTTATATATTGATGGCGATGGGTATTTATTTACCAAAATTTTCTAGTTGCTATTTTAATGAAATTTGGAGTGGTACATGTGAATAGGGCAAAGATGTTTGGGTGAAATTAGGATTTTAATTTTCAACTATAAAAAATATACTTTTGTCCACCAATTGAGTCATTAGTTTTTGCATATCTTTCAAATAAAAAAAATCGTTTATCAATTTTGAAAAGAAACAAACATTCATTCAGAGGTGTACAAACATCCATTTTAAACCGGTTCTGGTTAAAAAAAATGCCTCCGTTTTATTGAAAATGAAATTTTGTAAAAAGATTTATTTATTTATTTATTTAAATTTAGCAACCAGGTCAGTTCGGATTTTTTAGAAAACCTGAAAAAATCGGTTTCAATTAAAAAAAAAACTATATCAAACGGATGGGTTAATTTTAATTGAACCAATTATAAAAAAACCAATTTAATTTCATTAGACCGTTTAGAAATGTAAAACCCTATACTCACTCTTTGTAAAATGTACAACCAAATTAGACATTAGCACCATTTAGAGATGTGACATGTAAAAGAAAAAGCAAAAAAGGCGTGAAGTCATCATTTTATTTTCGACCTCTATTTAAATGATTAGAGTTTCTTTATATTAAATGGTCTATCTATTTCAATTTCACAAGTTAAAAATAGGCAGAATACTAGAATGGCAATAAATTGTTAGAGTTTCATATTTGTTTCACATGGTATCTTAAATTTTATTTCAAACCTATTTAGAACCGACAAGAATCAATTCAACTCATCAACTTAACTCGAATCCAATCCAAAATTAACATGTTGGGTTGAGATTTTCAACTCATTTAGGTTAAATTGGTCAATCCGTCTAACCTGTTTAATTAAATAGGTTGGGTTGGATAAAAGTTATCAAATCGGTTTCAACCCACCAACTCATTTAACTTTAATATATATTTAATTTAATAACTACTTAAATATTATCATGTATTAATCTAAATATTAATGTATAAATTACAATGTTATATTGTTATTATTATTTTTTAAAGACAATCCTAATTCTTATCTTTTTTCTTTGGCCAACAATACTAATCAATCTTCAAAAGTATTTCGAAATTAAATATCTTTAATGTTATTTGAACATTTTTTTGTATACGTGAATTTAGATTGCGCTTTTATTATACTTTCAATTTTTATTTAAGTTTGGAGCTATTTTAAACGGTAGAATCTTTAGTTAATTTATTTACTTTTTTTTATTTTAAAATTTATTAATCCAGGTTTAACCCATTTATTTAATAGGTTGGATTAAGAATTACATAAAAGGATCAACCTAATGGCAACCTATTATCTTAACGATTGGGTTCAACCTAATTAATAAATGGGTTGAATCTAAGCCAACTCAAATCGACCCATTACCAGCTCTAAACTTATCAATTTGTAGATTTGTTACATTGTTTTTGAACTTTTATATTCTTTTCCATGCTGGATATGTGATGTGAAACGTGATTAAAAGTTTTAAAAAGTTTAAGATACTATTTAATGAATTGGTTTTTAATAAGTCGGTTACATATTTATTAACAAATTTTTTTTTTTGAACGGCAAATAATTATTTTTTCTTCTCTTTCAGGAATTGAACTTGGAACCTCGTAGTTAATTGTCAGTTTAACACCTCCTTGTTATGTTCAATTTAACCGGCTACATGTTTGAAAATACATATTTCATACTAATAATGGAACAAAATTGAAAATTAAATAATTAAAGCTCTTGGAAAATGTTTAAAATACTTGGGGGCTATTTAATAGCCTTTTAATTTTTTAATTAAGAGGTTAAGATTTTAATTTTTCATGTTTGATAACTTTTTAATTTTTGTCTTTTAATTATTAACAACCTGTTAATTTTTAAGAAAAGAGTTGTATATGTGTATGTTTCAAAAATACCCTATTTTTTCAAGATACCATATGTCATTATTTTTTCTCTTAGTGTCTTCTCCAACCTCTTAAAAATTTGGATATTAAAAGTTTAAATCCTACCAAACAGTTGTGGAACTAGGAATTTCGATATGAAGGTATAAACATTGTCAATATATATTATATATAGTTATCCAATATCGGATATTAAAAAACATATTATAATCTCTTTAGTTGGGGGTATAATAAAATGAAAAATGTTTATAAATAATATTTTTTTATATATATAAAATAATTTTTTGGGGTACTGTAGTACCCTCAACACCACCTCTAACTCCGCCACTACTACCAAACAAACATTGAATAAAAGACATAACTTATTTACTATTTAATGCCATTGTCATTATAATATAAAGTTTGTTTTTAATCCAAGTCAAACCATATACGGAACAACATAAATGATTCATGTATATTGGTCCGTTAATATGTTTCAAGTAAATACGTAATTACATTTTCCATTCACACATATTTTAATGATATATGACTAGTTACGTTCATATATCTAATTATTCCTAAAATAGCACTCAAATTAAATGTTTATTTAAATAAAATATAATATCAGGTAAGAATAATACACTTTACATGAAAAAAAAAAATATAATATAAGGTAATAGTAAAGGTGAAAGTTTAAGAGGTCTTATAAACGAATTTACTAACTTGGTAAATCTAACACCTACAATAAAAAAAATTATATTTATTACGAGCAATAATAGAAAACAACCCTATTTATGAAAACATTTGATAGAATGTATGAATTCTTACTTCCTACTTTCTATAACCTACCAACCTAACCCACACCCATAATGACAAATTTTGCCATTTAAGTTGATGGAATTTATAGTTTCACCCCTCCAATTTTAGCGTCATTATAACGAAGTCACCCTCACAATATAAATTTTAGAAATATATCAACATGATATGTTGGAATTTACTAGTACTCCAGTATCATAAAATATATTGAAAAAAACTATAGCAAAGACATACTCAAAACAATAAACATGTTTTATTTTCAAGATAATAAAAAAATATAACACATAGTTATTTATCACTTATATAATGACAGTAAGTTGGTGTGAAAAAATATAACAAATATGTGTGAACAGTAACAAAAAAAAATGTAAAACATAAAACAAACAAATGAATCTTGAGGCATGCATGTGCCATGCAAATAAGAAAAACAAAGGGAGTAAGTCAGTGTGGACATTAGAACAAAAGGAATAACTTATAATACAAGTTTATGCACTAAGAGCAAATATCAACAATAAATCTTAAAAAACAAAGTGAGCAACATACTTATATAACTTATATAAGTTTATGCACTGAGAGCAAATATCAACAATAAATATTAAAAAACTAAGTAAGCAACATACTTATATGACCAAGTCTTACATGTCTAACCTAGCACTATCCCCCATTTCCTTTTAAGACAACCATCTCCTCTTCTTACCATCAACGACTTAATCCTCCTTATTGTTGTTGATACTAGTATTATTTGTATATGTTAATACTACATGAAGTGTCGTTTCCTCAATTTCTTATTGATCATTGTCACTCCCAACAAATTTTCTAATAGCCTCATTCGAGATACCGTCTAGCAAAGTTCTATTGCATGTCTTCCTCATCATTCTTATTTTTGCTACTTCCATCTTTTTCTCATGATCCTTTTTGCTCACGCAATATTTAGATCATACAACATGACATGTCTAATGCTACCCTATAAAATTTATCCTTCAATTTTAATGGTCTATCACACAAGACACCTGAGGTCATCCTCAATTTTAACTGGCCGCCTTATTACGATGGATGACATCTACCCCGACACCCCATTCTTTGTGAACCATAGACTCTAAATACTTAAATCTCTCATTTGGGTGAAGAGCTTGCTCACATACAGTTACATCCACTCCTTTATCCTTTCTATCCCCACTAAAATGGAACTAAAGGAACTCAGCTTAACAGTGTTGATTTGTAGCCTTTTATCTTCTAACTTTAACATCCATTTGGCTAGTAAGACACCTGGTCCAAGATCAGTAAAAAATATATGGAGAGAAGGGCGAACCCTGATGGAGCCCAATTTTTACTAGGAACAACTGTGTGCTCTGACAAGGGCCCGAACAAAGTCGTAATCTGACAATGCATATCATGTACAACCATGACATATCTATTAGGGAGCCCTCTAGCTTCTAAGGTCCTCAAAATTACCTCATGAGATACATAATTGTACGTCTTTTCTAGGTCGATGAACATTATATGGAGGTTTATGTTTCTATTCTTATATATTTCTCTACAAGTCACCTAAGGAGATGGATCGTTTCAATATTAAACTAAACTGCATTCTTAGTATTTTACTAAATGAACATTTAACTAATATTGAAAACCAAGTATGTGAATTCATCGTAACCAATGTATTTTATCTGCACATCTATAAGATTTATTCACAAACTTTGAAAGGCGAATGAAATAAATGATATCATTCTTGTTACAAGTATTAGATGGAAAATAATGTTGGTGATTTTATATCACTAATATTATTTAAGTGTAATGTGATTATTATTGATATGTAATGAGATTAATTTGTTGATCAATGTCACTTTGATAATTATTGAACAAATTAGGATGGTACGAAGTGCACATTTTTTAAAGTTTGTCTGTATTAAAAGTAGACTGCTATTTAAGGGCAAATCCCCTGAATTGACGGGGATCCGGGGGCAGCATCCCTGGGAGTGGGGTCCAAGGGGCAGAGCCCCTGGATGGGGTCGACATTTTAGACCGTATTTTATGTAAAGACATCCGGTTTTGTGATCCATATTTCAGACCCGGATTTAGACAGTTTTGGGACATAAAACTATCATTTGACAGTTTAAGACAAGTGGTTGGATTCTTGTTATATAATCAATTTCGAAAATTAGTTTTTGGTACACTTCTTCTTCTTCTTCATAACATCTTCTTTATTCTCCATTCTAGAAAACAATGAGTTTTATTCGATTAGAGATTCTCGAGTGTACACTCGAAATGCTTTAATCTGAAAGCGTTTCACAACTCTCATTGATCCAAGAAATTATATATCCCGATTTTCTAACAAATAACAAAGATGGTTTATATATTTATTTGAATTTATAAAGTTCTCCATGCTTTCCACATGAAACTCAAGAGATGTGTGTTAAGATGATACTTGATTGTTTTTATACAAAACTTCCAAAATCAATGCTAGATATAATACATTAAAAACGATGGTTATATTTTTGTATGCGACATAATAATACTATCAAATATGCATCTTTTTCCATATCAAATACAATTTAATTGCTAAAAAATACAAGCCATCTTAACAAATGAATGCAACTTATTTTGTTAACCATGATAAACTTTTCATTTATGTAAAATTTACTAAAACTTGATAGAAACCTATAAGTTTATTATGTTAAATAATTAAAAACAATATGCTACATAATTTACAACATCATTCAAAAATCTTAATTTCTTTTATATTGCTACGATTGCCATGCTTATGATCTTGAGAAAAAAAAATATTTATCAAAGAAAAGACCTAAAACTGACAAGAAAGAAACTTGGTTGCTCAAAATAATAACACTTGAAAAGTATAATGCTCAACTCATAAATCGCCATTTGCCTTAAAAGATCAACAAGTCAAAAAAGGAGAAAACATTTATTTGGGTGTGCTTCGACTACTCCGAAAAATTGTTCAAGAAGAAAACCCAGCATACACACCAACACCATCAGCTCAACCAGAAATTCCAAAAACACCACCTTCGTGCATGCTCATCTATGGCCTCTATATTACCATCTAACATCCTCATTGTTCCATCAACAACAGTAATTAGCTCAAAAAACTAAACGATTTCCAGTTTTCTTCTCATAAATCTATCGCAGATTCTGTTTATTTGCTGGGTTAATGGCAAATGCATCCTGGGGTTTCACTCCTACAGTTCCTCATCTTGATCGAACGAGGATATTTCCATCTATAACCATTTTTCGATCTGGGTTTCATTCCCCTGATCGAATTTCCAGGAGGGTATCCTGCGCCAGTACTGCTAATGGTGCTGAAAAGCTCTCCCCTTCTGAATCTCGCTCCCCTAGGTACTTCTTCTCTTATAATTGAATTATTTTTAGGTTATTCCATATTTATCAAATATCAATACCTCTTAATCCCTTATACTTGTACTTGTAAGTTTTGTAGGTATTTGTTTATTTGCTGTGTTGTTTGTTGTGTGTCTGTGTGTGTTGTTCATTCTGCAGGTTCCTCTTTTTCCATAGATTTTGAATGTCGAATCACTGAAGATACATGCTATTCTGTTCGTTGATAGGGGGATTCTATATATATGATGTGTAAAACAGCATAAGTACGTTTGTTCACCCTTTTATACACTAATCAGGGTTGCTGAAAGAATAGTCTTTTTTTTTTTCCACAAAAAAGAATAACATAAGTGTTTGGCGCTTGCTTTCACACCATGATTAATGTATAAAAGGGTGATCTTGGTGCATGAAAGGGGTTTGCAATAATTAAGGAGGAAAATCAGAGAGCTTTTTATCAGATCATTGCATCAAAATGTGCATTTTAGCATTTGATTGTGTAATACATGGGAATAAATGTCTAAGTTTCTTGCAAACTCTGTTTTGCCTTCCTTGTAAATCTTTATTATACTATATAAGAAGTTGATATCATTGATTTGTATTCAAGTAACTTTGATATATTTGGTCATTGAAAATATTATAAAAGGTAAGATTCTCTTATTCTTTTTTCAGGGTAGTTGGAAAGGGTTGTAAGTTAGTTGGATGTGGTTCTTCTGTACCTAATCTTCAAGTTTCTAATGATGATCTTTCTAAAATTGTTGACACAAATGATGAATGGATATCTGTTCGAACTGGAATCCGTAATCGCCGAGTTCTTACAGGTTGGTTATTTACAAATTTGTCCTCATTTGTTTTTTCAAGTTTCCCATGAAGTTGATGTTAATCTCAATTGTTCATAAACAGGAAAAGATAGAATGACAGGATTGGCTATTGAGGCAGCTAAGAAAGCCCTAGAAATGGCAGATGTTGATCCTGATGATGTGGATTTAGTCCTGTTATGCACATCAACCCCTGATGATCTTTTTGGTAGTGCACCTCAGGTCTTGCTTCATCAAACTTTAATCTCAAAAAAGTAGGAAAAAAAAAAAAAATGAATCTTAGGTGTTTTTGTGTAGAGAATTTCATGATTCATTGTTTTTCATGTGTCAGATACAAGCAGGACTTGGGTGTAAGGGGAATCCATTGGCTTTTGATCTTACAGCTGCTTGTAGTGGATTTATATTGGGTCTAGTTTCAGCTTCTTGTTATATCCGAGGTTATTTTCCATTCTTTTTTTTTTTTTTAATTAAATTAAATATACTTCAATGTTTTCATAATTTTTATAAGATTTTAAATGTAGGTGGTGGATTTAGAAATGTGCTTGTGATTGGAGCAGATGCTTTGTCTCGTTATGTTGATTGGACAGATAGAGGGACTTGTATTTTATTTGGTGATGCTGCTGGTGCTGTATTACTTCAGGTTATATTATATCATGTGAAAGTAAATTTACTTTTTTTTTTTTAAAATTTTATTTTAAAATATTGTTATGTGAGATTAATTGTTGCAACTTTTGCAGGCGTGTGAAAGTGAGGAAGATGGGATGTTTGGTTTTGATTTGCACAGTGATGGTGAAGGCAACAGGTTCTTCCTCCATGAAAATTTTCATGATTGAATATATTTATTATAACAATAGTTCAAACCAAAATTACCTATTTGCCCATTGTCAATTGTTGGTGAAGAAATAAAACATATTGTTTTTTTTTTTTTTCAGACATTTAAATGCAAGCATCAAAGAGAATGAAACAGAGGATTTATTTGGTACAAATGGCTCAATCCCAGGATTTCCTCCAAAGAGTTCGTCTTATTCACATGTTCAAATGAATGGTAAAGAGGTGTTTAAGTTTGCGTGTCGGGTGGTCCCACAATCAATCGAGTTGGCTCTACAAAATTCCGGGTTGACTCGGTCTAGCATTGATTGGTTATTGCTCCATCAGGTATAAATAAACCGTCTGAATGAGACTAAATGACCATTTTGCCCTTACATTCCCAAAAAAGAATTCACGATATTCATCACTTTTGATGCGAGGGGAAAAAAAATAGGTAGGTTGTTTTTTCTCAACCCATTAAGTCAAAAGGAAACAACCATGTATAGTTGTTGAGATTAAGTGCTTAACCCATTAAGCTCATTATTTATTTATCCCCCCCCCCCCCCCAAAAAAGATGGAAAGGGACTTGCCCTTCTCATGGGACTGGGATTGTAATTTTGGGGATTGGCTTTGAAATTTAAAAATTTGTTGTGAATGTAAAAGACGTAAATGCCCTCATCATTAATTATGCAGGCGAACCAGAGAATCCTTGATGGGGTTGCAACGCGTTTAGAAATCCCGACGGAACGAGTGATATCGAACTTGGCAAACTACGGAAACACGAGCGCGGCCTCGATTCCGTTGGCGTTAGATGAAGCGGTGCGGAGCGGGAAAATCAAATCCGGGGAAACAATTGCTACTGCAGGATTTGGGGCTGGTCTTACATGGGGTTCTGCTATTATTAGATGGAACTAAAACTCACATATTCAACTTATAACAACATTTTATATGCTTCACTTGTTATAATGTGTCTTTTTTTTTTTTTTTAATTTTTTTTTTCAGTTTATTCTTTTTTGGGTTTGAATTTTCTATTGTAGTTATGTTGTTTAATGGTGAAGAAGAGTTGAGGGGTTTTTAAACATAATATACTTTGAGGTTCCATTCCGTGTCATATTTCATTCATTCCAAAGATGAGCATAGTCTAAAATATTGTATCCATTATAATAATAATAAATCAAAAGTAAAAACAGTTGAAAATAATATGCATGAAATTCAAGTCTTGTTAAAATGAGCATACTCTTAGTCTTTTACCATGATCCATATTAAAAAAAAAAAGAGAGCATAAAGTCTAGTATAAATTGGTCTAACATATTATATCTATCATATCATCATCTTTTACTTCAAAGGATACAACCAAAACAAAAACATGTTTTCAGATTAATGCCTTCGACCTTTGGATTCACTTTTTGAAGCCATAACCCCTGAAATCTGGTTTACCTCGTACAATATCGCAGCCGAGAACAAAAAGCTGTGTAAAGATAAAAAAAAATTCATATCAATTTCAACAAATAATTTGTATTTGATTTATTACTTGTTACTGATAAGAGGATTAATATCTTTATAAAAATTAAAAAAATAAGTAAGATAAGCTACCAAGTTGTTATACAAACTCGATGCACAGTGCCAGCAGCAACAAGAGCAACAGCTTCAGCTAGAATAACTGCACATAAAAAAAAAAAAATCATGAAGTTTTATTTACCCATAGTAATAACATAATTACATTTCTTTACCATTAATAGCAATGTGCTTTATTTTTTATCAGTAAAAAGATGAAAGTACATTGCTGATCAACTCACCTGCACCCCATCCAGTTTTGACCCCAGAAGTTTCTTGGAAATTTCCAATGAACTGTAAAAAGGGGAAAGACAAAGTTAAGTACTTTATCATCATCAATTATGTGGTAAGAATTTATATTCACATTTGTGAGTATGTTTTGGAAGCAAAATAAGTAATGTAAGCAAGTTAAAGTGCAAGTTTTGATTAATTATGTAATATCAAAGTTGGACACTCATAACACGAAAGAGAGTAAAGGGACCAAAATTGCCAAGTGGATAAAATGCAGGCAATGTTTGAAGGGATTTATGAAAGAATATGACTAAAGAGAATGCTAAAAGAGTTGAAAATTTGAAATATTGGGTAAATGAATCTATAGTGTGACTATTGGCTTCTATCAGGATAGCTAAAAACACCATTCATCATGTCAAACAAGATTAACAAACAATTTATTATTTCATTATCAAAAAGAGATCACAAAACCAGCTACATGAGCAATTGAGCATGAAGACTATTGTTGCACAAATCCAATGAAAGGCAATGGTTATGTCACCATATTCATTTAGGTGTTTGAAACCAAACAAAAACAAAAATCAAATCCACGATTTCGCCCTTATCAAAGAGCTCCAACATATGAATTAGTGCATGGATGCATCATTGCAAATTACAAAAGATTTTCAAATGCATAAAAGTGTTGACAGATAAGACTGAACTCACAGTTAGTAAGAAAAGAAACACAAGTGAACTGGTGAATCCTCCAAGTATGGTGAAACAGTTCTGATGATGCTAACTTCCCTCTATACATTTCTTGCAGTGAGAGAGTAACAACAAAGAGAAGAAGAGAATAGAGCATTGAATTCCCAGCTTCGGCCATTGGCTTCAAAGCATTAAAACAACAAAAAACAAATATCATTAGAACCTGTTTGTCCCAAATCACAGTTGTTATAAATTATAAAACAATAATTATTACAAAATCGGAAGCTACTTCAAACATACAGCACCAAGGAGCAGTTTCAAGAGCTCAATTTCACTTTTCAAGGACAAAACTAGTATCGTCATTTAGATCAAGAAGACTATTAACCAAACATTTGTTGGAGATGAAGCATAATATTCAGCATGACAGATCAGTGTGTTCGCGAACTTAGCTAAACTATCCATAAATAAATTTCCACCTACTTTTCAAACGTAACAAGTGCAGCTCGCAATCGCATATGTTTTTTGCAGGAACGAAGACCAAACAACCAAAGTCTTCGGTATATCAACAACCACAACACAATAATCCAAACTAAAACTGTAATGCTTGATGATAGCTTGTCGAATTATAAGATCAACAAGATATTAGGTTTTTAGTGAATCAAACAAGAGACAAAAGGAAGGATCCGGAGCAAACCTTTTGAAAATGATGAATCCGACGCTGATTTATGTCCCGGTGACCACCGTCGTTTGGTGAACGACAACAATGGGGAAGGTTTAAAGGGGGCCTAAATGGGCTACAGATCAGTTGGCTATTAGCTTGTTAAGGGCCACACAATCCAAAATAAATGGGCCGTTGATCCGAAAATAATATTTGTATTTTCTAAATATATCAATTAGTTCATATACTGATTCTTTTTTTTTTTTTTTTTTTTTTCAATGATTAAACTTATTCAATGTTTTTAGAGGAATATTTAAAGATAATAATTGTAAACTTATTCATATACTGATTTTTTTTCAATGATTTTCTAAATATTTCAATTAGCTTTTTAAGGGCCACACAAGGGTATCCAAAATAAATGGGCCGTTGATCCGTCAATAATATTTGTATTTTCTAAATATTTCAATTAGGTTCATATACTGATTTTTTTTTTTTCAATGATTAAACTTATTCAAAGTTTTTAGAGGAATATTTAAAGATTGAGATATTTCAATGTGTTTGGCTCGCAGATTTTTAATGATTCACAAGGATCATCCACTCACATTTAGGAGCTATCCAAAAACACCAAACATGACTTTAATTACTTAATTTTTTTTTTTTAGAATTAGTATTTTACCGACAGGAATGCAACAGTACTGAATTTAAATAGAGATAAAAATGGTATGATATCAATTTTTTCCCTCTAAATCGTATAGTATATCAACTATAGTTGGTACTATAGTATACGTCAAATTCTATTATTTTTTTTGTAAGATTTACAGATAAGAGATATCACATCTGGTAATTTTAACGATTAGTAAAGAAACTAGTTATGCAATTATGTTAATTGTTAAAAATATCTAATAAAGTACCATTAAAGCAACGTTTCAATTTTGTAATTTAATGCGGTAGTAAATATTAACTAATGCTCCTAAATATAATTGATAATTGCAATATCCAATATCTATTTTTAAAAATCATGAGATTTGTTTTATAAGATAGTAAAGATATATATATATATATATATACTATCTTATAAAACAAATCTCATTATTTTTAAAAATAGATTGAATAAAATAATAATATTTTTTTAAGACGTCTAAATCATTAACCTAATTCTACAACTAATCACTAATAAAATAATATTAAGAATTAAACAAACTCCTAAAAATCTTCTCTTCCAAGGTTTTGACCAAATCTTTTTTCATCCAAATAAATACTCAACATCCTATAATTTGGTCATTTCATTAGTTTTTTTTATTTTTAATATGACATTTTTCCTAAAACAAACTAATGATTGAATTGAAAATAATCATTCTCCATCGAAAAGAAATTCATTGTCGAAACAAATTATTTGTCGTCCGCCGCTTTGCGCGGGTAAAACGGCTAGCATATATATATATATATATATATATATATATATATATATATATATATATATATATATATATATATATATATATATATATATATATATATATATATATACTATCTTATAAAACAAATCCCACTATTTCAAAAAATAGATTGAATAAAATAATAATATTTTTTTAAGACGTCCAAATCATTAAGCTAATTGTACAACTAATCATTAATAAAATAATATTAAAAATTAAACAAACTCCTAAAAATCTTCTCTTCCAAGGTTTTGACCATATCTTTTTTCATCCAAATAAATACTCAACATCCTATAATTTGGTCATTTCATTAGTTTTTCTTTATTTTTAATATGACATTTTTGCTAAAACAAACTAATGATTGAATTGAAAATAATCATTCTCCATCGAAAAGAAATTCATTGTCGAAACAAACTATTTGTCGACCGCCGCTTTGCGCGGGTAAACGGCTAGTGTATATATATATATATATATATATATATATATATATATATATATATATATATATATATATATATATAGGGTGAGATCGGTTGAGAACTCAAAGTTTTTCGAAAACCCGATAACTAAATGTGGAACGCTATATCAAAATTATCTTATTAAGGACATGATCGTCATCTTACCAATCTCATTTGATGTTTAATTTTTTATGTTATTGAAAATATTAATAAAGAGATCTAAAAATTAAAATAATAAATCAAATATTTTGATTTTTTTTTTAAATAAAAATTTTCGATTTTATAAAAAATGCAGATTTTTTAATTTTATTTAGAAATCATGAATTTTTAAAAATATTGAAAAAAAGTGTTTTTATAAGACAACTGCGTTTTCTATAAAACCAGTAAAATTTAAAAAAATTAGTAAATTAGAAAAAAAACTGGAATATTTAAGAAAAAAACTGTAAATTTTTAGCCAAAAAAAATCAACGTTTTAGGTGTATATATATATATATATATATATATATATATATATATATATATATATATATATATATATATATATATATATATATTTCTTATACTATAATATTTATAAGTAATTCATAAAAAAAACTTCATTTTTATTTACTAATATATAAACACGGTAGTATAAATATTTTATTCGATACATAATAAATATAAAAAATAAAAAAATACTACAAAATTTCAAAGTGGTTTCAAGTATTCTTGTTAAGATTTCCATATTTTCTTTAATTTATCACTTTCACCTCTTTAATATTTTCCACAAATTTTTCTAAATCTACAAAAAAAAAAAAAAAAAGTTGATTAATACAAGAACACTCACAAAAAATAAATATGTATATATCATATAAGATTCATATGTGATTGTATCTTTTAAGATTCTTATGTGAAATTCACAAAAATAATAATAATAATAATAATAATAATAATAATAATAATAATAATAATAATAATAAATAACAAAGAACACTCACACAAAATGCATGTGTGCATATAGACGAAATTCATATGCGATTTGCTCGTGGTTTACATGTGAATCACATGTAATACATATGTATCTCACTTGTGATTTATATGTGAATAAGATGTAATTCATATATGATTCACTTGTGATTGAAATGTGAATCCTATGTAATTTACATGTGAATCACATGTAATTCATATGCGATTAGTTTGTGATTTAAATGTGAATCACATGTAATTCACTTGTGATTTAAGTGTAAATCACATGTAATTCATATATGATTTAAATGTGAATCACATGTAATTCATATGCGATTCGTTTGTGACATGTAAATTACATGTAATTCTGTAATATCCCAAAAAAATGACCCAAAATTTTTTTGTTGAATAATTACTAAAAACACCATAATAAAATCATAAGGTAAACTCGTACGTCAATATCTCACAACAATAGTAAGGTTATAAGTAAACTGAATCAAGAATGTATTAGTCACATCTATGAGAAACAAAACAACTCCCAGGACAATGATGTTGTGGTGTGTGTGTGCGATGCCATCAACTCGAGCTCTTTCCCTTGCTTGCGGAAGTACCTGAAACCAAAACTGAAACTGTAAGCACGAAGCTTAGCGAGCTCCCCCAAACTACCACATACCATATAATACATATAATCACATACTGGGCCTTGCCCACTGCATCGGACCGAAGTCCGGAAACTGCATCGGACCAAAGTCCGGAACTAACCAGGGCCTTGCCCTCTGCATCGGATCGGGATCCGGAACTACTGAGGCCTTGCCTCCTGCATCGGACCAAAGTCCGGAACTACTGCATCGGACCGAAGTCCGGAACTGACTGCATCGGACAGAAGTCCGGAACATACTGAACATAGCATCACATAAGCATATCAATTAACATGAGTACATACATAGCATACTACATCGGGATGTAACCCGGAACACATAACACCAAACACTGTCTGAGCCACGAAGGCATCAAACATACTAAAATCTGCATCGAACCGAAGTCCGGATACTACTGCTAGCTAAACGGGCCGGCATTGTGGCCTTAGACCCGTTCCTACTGAAAGGAAACTCACCTCGTGATCTGGCTTGCTGAGTGTGTGGCTCCGGGAACTATCTGCTGCTGCTCCGGTATCTCCCCGGCTACAAATCCACAATTACACTCAATTAAATTATTAATAACTGTATTGGGGTAAATGACTCCTTTTACCCCTGGCTAAAGTCAACTCTCCTGGTCAAAGTCAACTTTACAGTTGACCTGACTCGCCGAGTTGGGCCGCCAACTCGCCGAGTCCCTACTCTCATTTCTCACCCTACTCGCTGCTACTCGTCGAGTATGGCATCAACTCGACGAGTTCCCTTTCGAATCTAAAACCTCAGGCAATCTGCATCAGACTCGCCGAGCCGTATGAACAACTCGACGAGTTGTTCTTCGAGCTAAGAAGATTGCCTTGGACTCGCCGAGTCCCTCCATTACTGAGTCTAACCACAACTCACTGAGTCCACTCCATCACTCACTGGTCTCACTCGGCATCACTCAAAAAGGGAAAAATCGGGGACTCGTGGCTCGACTCGCCGAGTCGCTTGCATGCAGCAACTCAAAACTTGATTCTGCTTGAATCCAGTGCATAAAACTTATAGATCTGGACTCCCTTAACTCGATTAGCACGTAAAGATTCTATCTTTACGTGCCCATATGCATTCATGAAGATAAAATGGCTCAAAAAGCATAATAAAGGCTAGATCTAGGGTTTCCATGCAAAGTATCTTCATAAAGGCAATAGATCTGGGCTCTGAAACTTCTCAATGAATAGATCTAAGGATATCTCGACTTATTAGGGCATCCATACAATCATAAGGCTTGGGAAAAGCATCAACTAGATCTAGAAGAGTTCTAATGGAGGTTTAAAGCATAAAACAAGAGGGAATCCGAAGAATACCTCAAATAACTCTGATTTGCCCTTGGATCTTTGCACTACTCCTCTTCTCCTTGCTCCTTTCTTCTTCTCTTTCTTCAAGCCTTCACAAATCAACACAAGAACACTTAGATCACTCAAGGATGGATTAGGGTTTTCTCACAGCGTTCTGAGGGTGAAGGAGGCGAGAATGGGGGCTATAAGGTGGATTAAATAGTGAGCAACCCGGAGATTTAGGGTTTCAACCTGGCAGGCCGACTCGTCGAGTCCCGAATATGGACTCGCCGAGTCGCCGATCTATACGCTGATCAACAACGCGACCCTACTCGACGAGTCGGGACATAGACTCGCCGAGTTCCTCCATGGAACTTCAAAAATAAATACTAAAAACCACATACCAGGGACGGGTCGTTACAATTCTCCCCCACTTGACTCAGACTTCGTCCTCGAAGTCTGCTGCTGCATCTGCAAATAACCCAGGATAATGTTCTCTCATTTCATCTTCAGCCTCCCACGTCCACTCAGACCCCTTCCGGTGCTCCCACTGCACCTTCACTAGCTGAATTACCTTGTTCCTCAAGGTCTTTGCTTTCCGGTCCAGAATCGCGACCGGCCTCTCAATATAATTCAAGCTGCTATCCACCTGGATATCCTCTAAAGGAACAACTGCTGACTCGTCCACCAAACACTTCCTTAACTGAGACACATGGAAAGTGTCGTGGATCTGGCTAAGCTCTGCCGGAAGATCTAACCGATAAGCAACCCGACCCACCCGGGCCAAACCCTGAAAGGACCAATAAACCTGGGACCCAACTTGCCCCTCTTCCGGAACCTGATAACACCCTTCCAAGGTGAGACCTTCAGAAAAACCATGTCACCCACCCAAACTCGAAGTCTGAACGCCTCCTATCGGCGTAACTCTTCTGCCGACTCTGCAGTCTACTACGGACCTGCTGGATCAACTCGGTCGTCTTGAGCACCACCTCTGTGCTCCCAATGACTCGCTGACCCACCTCGCCCCAACAAATCGGGGTCCTGCACTTCCTCCCATAAAGCATCTCAAAGGGAGGTCGATCGATGCTCGCATGATAACTGTTGTTATATGAAAATTCCGCTAACGGAAGATATGTATCCCAACTGCCACCAAAATCCAAAACGCATGCCCTAAGCATGTCTCGAGAGTCTGAATCGTCCTCTCACTCTGCCCGTCCGTCTGAGGGTGGAAAGCAGTGCTGAAGTGGAGACGAGTACCCATCTCGTCATGGAACCGCTTCCAGAATCGGGAGGTAAAACGGACATCTCGGTCTGACACCACCGATACCGGCACTCCATGGCGTGCCACAATCTCACGCACATAGATATCGACTAACTTTTCTGCTGATATACTCTCCTGGATCGGGATAAAATGGGCACTCTTCGTCAACCGATCCACTACTACCCATATCGAATCTACTCCTCGTGCGGTCCTGGGAAGCTTGGTGATAAAATCCATAGTGACGTCCTCCCATTTCCACACGGGAATGTCTAACGGCTGCATCTTGCCGTGAGGCCTCTGATGTTCTGCCTTGACCTTCCTGCAGGTTAGACACCTCTCCACATACCAAGCAACATCCCGCTTCATGCAGGGCCACCAATAATCGGGTCGAAGATCTCTATACATCTTCGTTGCCCCTGGATGGATAGAAAATCGAGACTTATGAGCCTCGTCCATCAACACCTGTCATACTCCGCCTCCGTACGGTACCCACACTCTCCCATGAAGGGTCAACAACCCCCGACTATCATAATCGAACGAAGCTACTCGACCTACAATCCTCTTACATTTTGCTTCTCTTCCTTGAGGCCCTCAACCTGAGCCTCCCTGATCCGTTCCAACAACGGAGTAATCACAGTCATTCTCAACACAAATCTCTGATAGGGGCTGCTGTCACCTTCCGACTCAAGGCATCGCCACTACGTTGGCCTTCCCTGGGTGATAAAGGATTTCACAATCATAATCCTTCAGCACATCCAACCATCTCCTCTGCCTCATGTTTAGACTCGGTTGATCCATAAGGTATCTCAAGCTCTTGTGATCCGTGTAGATGGTACAACGGACCCCATAAAGATAATGTCTCCAAATCTTGAGGGTAAACACCACTGTCCCCAGCTCCAAGTCGTGCGTAGGATAGTTAGCCTCATGAGGCTTCAACTGTCTCGAGGCGTAGGCTATCACATGCCCCCGCTGCATCAACACTGCTCCCATACCTGTGATTGAGGCATCACAGTAGACTACAAAATCCTCTATCCCCTCGGGCAGGGAAAGAATCGGAGCCTCGCATAACCTTTGCCTGAGGGTCTCGAATGCCGTCTGCTGCTCAGGCCCCCAACGAAACACCACCGACTTCCTAGTCAGTCGGGTGAGCGGTACTGCAATCTTGGAGAAATCCTGAATGAACCTCCGGTAATACCCTGCCAACCCCAGGAAACTCCGAATCTCGGTTGGAGACCTCGGGACTTCCCACTGCATCACGGCCTCTATCTTGGCCGGATCTACCAATATACCCTTCTGGTTGATGAGGTGGCCAAGGAACTGCACCTCACGCAACCGAAACTCACACTTGGAGAACTTCGCGAAAAGCCTCTCCCTTCTCAACACTTCTAGCACCTCCCTCAGGTGCTCCTCATGCTGCTCCTGAGTCTTGGAGTACACCAAGATATCATCTATGAATACTATCACAGACCGATCCAGCATCGGTCTGCATACGCGATTCATGAGGTCCATGAATGCGGCTGGAGCATTAGTGAGCCCAAAAGGCATCACTACAAACTCATAATGACCATATCGGGTCCTGAAAGCAGTCTTCTGCACATCTTCGCCTCTAACTCGCATCTGGTGATATCCGGAGCGTAAATCGATCTTGGAGAACCAAGACGCTCCCTGAAGCTGATCAAACAAATCATCTATCCTCGGGAGAGGGTAACGGTTCTTCACCGTTACCTTATTCAGCTCCCGGTAGTCGATGCACATACGGTGCGACCCATCCTTCTTCTTCACAAATAAGATCGGCGCCCCCAGGGAATGAACTACTCGGCCGAATAAAACCCTTGTCCAGCAACTCCTGCAGCTGCGTAGACAACTCCTGCATCTCAGGGGAGATAACCGATACGGTGCCTTGGCTATCGTAGCCGCACCAGGAATTAGGTCAATCCCAAACTCGACCTGTCTCTTGGGAGGTATTCCAAGTAAATCCTCCGGGAATACATCCGGAAAGTCTCGCACTACCAGAACATCGTCCACTGTCAACTTACCCTCCTCCCGAGCATCCATAACGTAGGCTACATAGCATGCGCAACCCTGCTGAAAATAGCGTCTCGCCCTCGCGATGAACAAAGAACTGGTCCACGTGTGGCCTCTCGCCTGAATCACTAACTCCCCACCACTGGAGTGCGAATCCTCACTAGCGGTAACTCGCAATCAATCACGGCCCCGTTGGGACTCAACCAATCCATGCCCACTATAACCTTATTTCCTCGCAGGGGAATAGGGACCAAATCCACCAAAAACTGCTCGTCAAACAACTGAAGAGAACATCCTCGATGTACTCTGGCAACCCTCACGGTCCTATCATCTGCTATCTCAACCTCTAGTGGACAATCCAGCTCCCCAGGAGCTCTACTAAATCTCTTGCTAAGCGCTAGCGATACAAACGATCGGGTAGCCCCCGAATCAAATAATACTGTAGCAGAGATGCCGTTCACAGAGAACGACCCTATACAAAACATATAACCATAAGCAATACTCAATAATAATAACAATAATGTAGAGATGAAGGGAAAAATACATAC